GAGGGCCGGGGAGACCGGGGAGGGCAAGGGGATTATGGGGGGGTTGGGCTATGGGGGCAGGGACTTTCGCTGGAGGAGGCCGACAACTTGGAAACGACGTGGAGCCGGCGCGAAGGGCTCAGCGATTGTGGGATTCTAGGGAGAGAAGACGAGCAGCCCGGCCGCGAGGTGCGGAGCCCGCGCCTTCCCGATTTTAGGCGGTGGAACTCACCGCCACAAGATGCGGGGCTGTTAGGTACTCAGCCGGAAGGTGTCGCAACGGGTGGAGGCGTACCAGGAGCCTGGTGATTGTCCGTGCTGATTTATGTTTAGTGCTCGCATGCCTCTGAGGGGAGATACCGAGTTAAAAATAATAGATGTGGGGTTGCCTTTCCCACCTGTGAGGCAGGAGCCGGCTTTTCGAGCAGAGAAGGGGTTCTGTGGGCTGATAAGCCTGGCCTGCTTCGATTTGGGACTGAGACAGAGACCGAGGTAAAGAGGGATTTGTACACGTGTCTGGCCCGTCAGTGCAGGCAACCGTGTCCACACTGGGAAGGCGTGCAGGTGCAAACCGAGGCTTGGACAGCCCTCGCCGCCCCAGCATGGAGGACTGAAGCCTGAACGGGTGGGCCGGCTCGTCTGACCTGGGTTGCGGACTAAGGAAGGGGCGCGCGGGGGACTTCTCGGAGAAGGGCGAAGTCCGAGGGGCTGGATCCAGGACGGGAAAGAGGCCGGGAGGGAAGGGCAATAAACCCACGGGGAAGAAACGTTGGGGTCCGATTCGCCGAGGAGCTCCCCTGCCCTCGCGTCCTGCGCAGAACCGCTGGAGTCTAAAGGTTTGAGTTCGCCTAAGCGCTCCAGCGGTGCTTTTCGGCGTCAGCCTTAAAGAAACCCGACCGCATTTTCTATTCGGAGTAAGTCCCTTTGATCGCAGGTGGCTCGCTTTCAAAGCCAAGACCGCGCCGCTGGTGAAGCGGTGACGAATTCCTGGCAACTGGGATGAGCCGGGGCGGAGGACCGACCGTCAAGTTCAACCACACAGGAAGTGGCCGCTTTGTACATGCTCAGATGTACCTTTGCTTGAATTCCTGCGTCGGGAAATGGTTTTGTGAAACAGGTTCAGGAATGAAGTGATCTCGTTGACCTTTTTTTTTGTCCACGCAGGACAAAGGAGAGCCAGAGTGCTAGAGTCGACTCAGGAGGCCTCCGTTCAAAACCCTGCTCCTTAGGGGAAACTTATTGGCCGGTGGGCATGATAAAGCTTTCCGTGAACATCTCGCATACCTGGCAAACCCTATTAGGGTCGCGTTGCACGACAAGACGCCGGTACAGAGCCTCTTTTGGGGACAGATGTCCTCTAGCTGAAAACCGGCGGGGGTTTAGGCGGCTGGCAGAGGGGCTGCCCCATGGAACGGTGCGGCCCTCCCTCCAGATGCTGTACAGAGGAGCAGACGGAGATGGCCAGCAAGTTCCGGCGCGTGGCACGTTGTCACTCTCAGAGAAGACGCCCTAATAGTTGGTATGAAGATTACGCCCAGGGATAGGATTCCACGCAACAGGCCCCCCTCCCTCTATGTTGCTCGGCTTCGCACCTCGCACGCCTCTACCTGAGGGGGCCCCGCCCGTGAATTACGGTAGTCACCCGACGTGGGCGCTGGTCAAGCGCCAGGACGCGCGCGCGCGCGCACAAGAGCGCGCTTCCGTGCCCTCCCCATCCTTCCTTGGACTCCAGTGCGTGAGACCTTGTCTGTCTCCTCGTCTGCAGGCGACGTGCGGAAGCGAGCGAGCGAGCGAGAGAGACGGGGAAGGGGGGCAGTCTTTTCCCAGGGAAGACCACCATGAATGATTCATTAAGTTGCGCGCTGCCGTAAAAGAAGAAGGAGAAGGATTATTTCTGTCTGGCCGGGCCCTGGGAGATCAAGTCCCATCTCCCTGCAAAACGGTAGATTAAAAAAAACAACACCCCACACCATGTCCCTTTTTGACCCTCGGTTTTCCTTCCCAACTCCTCCCCCACACGACTTGGTTAGTTTTTAGGGGCCGTCAATTCGCTTCAAACCTTAATAGGGTCTTCAACGTCGGAGAGAGGGTCAGGGAGTGGTTTGCCATTACACGCCCACCGGGCGAGCTTCCCTGGGCAAGCGGGGACTGGACCCCTCAAGTCCTTGTCTCTCCCTCTATCTGCTACACACCACACTGGATCTCAACCTCGGGAGTAGCCCTGGGCCCCCACCTGCCATTATGACTACTTCTATGCCCTGCAGGTTATTCACCCTTCTAAGGGTCCAGGAAAGGACAGGACAAAGCACGTAGGTGACAAGGGTGGGGAGGAGTAAGGAAATGAATGGGGTGCGGGAGTTGTTTGACTACGAAAAGTGACCATTCTCTTAAGTGGCTTTCACAATACAGTATTGTATCTGTCTAGGCCAGTCACTTAGTGCTAAGCAGCGGTGCACACATTTTCATTTTCCAAAGAAAAATTCTTTATTTTGTCTGCTTTCCACCTGTGGCAAGCTCTTTTTCTTTGGTGGTCAGAGGTCTTGGGTCCAGCCTTCAATATGGAGTGTGATCGTTGGTCGTTAAGACTTCTGGTTGTGTTGAAAAGATGCATTGAGTTGAGTGAACCGAGGCAGGGGTCTGCAGAGTTCAAAGCTGCACACTTCCCAGGGCACCCACCACCACCACCAGAAGAAAAGAATGGGAAAGCATTTTTGGGTACTCTCTACCAGGATTGGTAAATCCTGATAAATCAGGATTGACTGGCTGGCACTTAAAGAGAAGATGCCTTAGAATCCACAACTTTTGGGTTGTGTAAGGACCACACCGCTGTCTTTGATCTTTTTTTCTGGCTATGGAGGATGTCCTGAAGAGCCACAGCTAGAGCACCATCTAGGAAAGGACATGGACACTTAACATCAGCTAGAAAGGACTGCAAAGTGAAGGGGGAAAAATCTTTTTCCAACCACTAGGTACTAATTCATTTTCGGTTGGCTTCATCTTCCTGTAACCTTTTCCCCCTGCAACATAGGAACCTTGAGTTTCAAAAGAAGGCAGTGGGGAAGGGGAAAATACTGACAGCCCTTTTTTTGATGAGTTGGAGAGAGAAGCCACCAGGGTGGAATTGGAAACCTACACTCCGGACAGGTGTTTGCAACCTGCATTTGTGAACTCACCTTTTAGAGAACAGACTCAGCATGACTATAGCCATGACTATGGGGATTTTCATATGTTTGTGGTGGTGGTGGGGTTCCCCTTGTCCTATCCACAGTACAGTATACTGTATTGGTGCACATCCTGATGAAGACTGGTACAGGGTCCAAAATTAGCATTTTTGTTTTTGATATTTTTTTTTTTAGTGGTCTGATAATGGGATCATTGAGAGTCCCCTGGACTACAAAGAGAACAAACATATCCATTCTGAAGGAAATCAACCCTGAGTGCTCACTGGAAGGACAGATCCTGAAACTGAGGCTTCAGTACTTTGGCCATCTCATGAGAAGAGAAGACTCCTTGGAAAAGACCCTGATGTTGAGAAAGAGTGAAGGCAAGAGGAGAAGGGGGACGACAGAGGATGCGATGGATGCACAGTGTCATCGAAGCAACCAACATGAATGTGACCCAACTCCAGGAGGCAGTGGAAGACAGGAGGGCCTGGAATGTTCTGGTCCATGGGGTCACAAAGAGTCGGACACGACTTAACAACTAAACAACAAGCCTTGAGAAAAGAAGACTGAGGGAAGAGTTAACAACTAAACAACAACAAATGGGATCACCTGTCCTTGCTTTTAATCATATAATCATGTACTAGCAACAATTTATGGGCTAAGAAGTCAAGAGCCTTTTGAAGCACAAGATCGATTTGTTTCATTATTTCTTGCCAAAAATAAAAGACAAAGACTGGCCAGCCTTCTTGCCTGGAAAACCCCAGGGATATTGGAGTTGTTTCCCATCTCTCTAGTCCATGCAAGATAATGTTGAAGGCACATCCAGTAGACGTTGTCTAGAGGGGCGGGGTAAAAATCGAATCAATCAATCAATCAATCAATCAATCAATCAATCAATCAATCAATCAATCAATCAATCAATCAATCAATCAATCAATCAATCAATCAAGCCGGGCTGAGGGAAGCAATCTCTTGAGGATGCCAGGCTCTGCCTTCTGGAGCAGCAGAGAACGAGAACTGCTCCTTCTTTTGACCATTGTTCCTAGAATATTGAGAAGTTTAAAATATGCTCTTTAGAACTGCTAGGGACGGCACCATCCTCTTCATGTTTCTGAATGAAGTCATCATCTGTCATGTTGTGATGGGTCATTGATTCAGTTTCCAAATGAAGCCCATGTCTAACTTTCAATGTCCAATCATAAAACAAAGCACACTCAAACAGATGTCTCATTGAGGGGGAAAATGCATGTTGTATGATACAGACCATTTTCACTATTTGAAAGAGCACCTCGACAACAAAAG